GAAGAAGAAGAGCTTTGACATTGGTTCTTGCTGGTGTACATTGTCTTTTCCAATCTTTTCTACTTCTTCTTCTTCTTCTTATCCTCTCCATCCTCTCAAGTTCATTCATTCCCTTTTGCAGTTGGTGAACATTGTGCTGATTGGTGAATTTGTACTTCGCAATTGGTCCGGGTCATAACACTTCCCCATATTACGGCCCGTGGACCCCTTTACATTAGAGGGCGAGAGGGCCGCTTCCCCTAGGATATCTGGATTTTTTTCTCTCCTGGTGCCCTCATGGAGTTCCATTTCAAAGCTTGCTACTTCCGGTCCGGTCTCTTTTGTCTTTACTCGGTCCTGAGTGGCCCTCTCCCCCACCATGTGAATTGTGTACTCTTCCCCTCTTTACTTCTGTCTATTCTCTATCTTTGATCTATTCCACCACTACCCTCTCTGGCCTGAACGTCTATGAATTGGCTTCCCCATCTAGATACTCCACCTCTTCTTCTTGCTCTTCTACCTTGGTTCCATAAATCTTTTTGCCGCTCCAGTTATGAATGAGAAGAGTGCATGCTTTTAGTTCTGCCATTCTGGCCCCTTGTATAACCAAACGTTTTCAAAAAATTGTCTTCAGAGCACCTTTTTCCGATCATCCACCTTTGCCTCCATTTCTCTCAGCACTATCTTCTTCTGTTCTGCTGTGATTTCTGTCTCTATCATATGTCTGAATTATGTCCACATTTCTTGAAGAGAAATTTGCCCACTCCTTCCGTCATCCGGCATCTCGCCTCCCATATGACCCACAGCCCAGCTTTTTTTCAATCAAGTCTATGCAAGCGGTTAACTGGGACCCCCACTTTCAGGAGCCTTGGGTTTTGTTATAAATGGCATGAGAAGTTGTCTGAAAATTGAGGCCTCCGGTAACCGCCTCTCCGAGACAAGTCTACCATGTTCCAGTGCTTCGAGGAAGTCTGCCCCGTGTCTTCCGGTGTAAGGATTAAGAAGGGGTATTGCGGGAACTGCTACACTGTTAATATGCCTTTTTACTGTAAAAAAAGAAAAAAAGCAAAGAATGACTGAGGGATCTTGTAAGAAGAGGTCCTTCCACACCGCCCTAACTTTTTGGTCAGAGTTTGTTTGCATGTCGGCATTCCACGAAACAGTGTGTCGAGGTTTCCTGAAAGAAAAAAATTGGGCATGATCCCATTCGACTCCCAATTCTTGACCCTTGCTCTCATCTGTAACCCTGGGAGTTCCACCTCACCAATTGGGCTAATTCTTCGTTGAGTCGCTCGACCATTTGTAGTAGTCCTTTGTACATAGACTAAGAAGGATTAGCGACTAATTTATGCTCTGCCTGTCCGACGAGTTTCAGAATCGCATGATTTCAGGAGAAAAAAATTATATTTTTCTCTCTCAAATCTTAAACCACCAGTACATGGCCCAGGCAAACTTTAGAATCGAAGTCGGCTCATTCCGAAAAGTTCCAGAGGCTCGGGGCTAACGGATCAAACTTGCTGGAGGCATCGCGCTGACAATTCGGCAAAGCTTGGCGTGTAGGGGGAATCTGCCTCGGCAAAAAGAGCCTCGGATGTACTGGTGATTTGGAAGTTTTCTCTTGTTCCTTACCTTGAGAAGCGGTGGGTTTGCGTGCTGCAGCAGTTCCCGATCTGTCATGTTTATCCCCCTTAACACAATTTTTTTTTTTTTTTTTTGGGCCATTTGGCCCATTTCTCGATTTATTCGTGTCATCCTTGCGCAGGGGCCATGCTTATCTTCTCTGTATCGTTCCAATTTTAACGGATGTCCTGAAGGATTTAACACACATTTTCATTAGCCCCCCTCCTTCCCTTCCCCCTTCCCCTCCCCCCTTCCCCTCCCCCCACCCACCTTGTCTTAGCTATCTGAAAAGGTTGGGGGGTTGGGGGCTGATGATTTCTTGCAATTTGATTGTTCGTTCATTTGAAGATTTCTTACACCAGCAGTGGAAATCCTCAACCACACCCTGCCCGCGCGCCCCC